GATCAAGTATGTGGAAGAATTTAGCTCAGTGCCTGTCACTTGGTAGACACCCCACTATGTTTCCTCCTTCCGTTTCTTTCTTTTCTCAAAATCAAGCAGTGCAGGGAAACTAGTGATAATGGCCCATTTAAACAGAATATAAATTCAGTGACATCAGGATATTCAGGTTGTATTGATTCTCTGCCTTCCCTCTGACAAATAACAATAATGGAATATGGCACATTTGTCTGTAAAAGGGGTTTATGGTTTTCTAAAGGACTTTATTTTCTCCTCTGGTCCTCACAACAGCTGTGATGTGGCAGTTAGGAAACTCATTTGACAAGTGAAGGAAGTTTAAGTGTCTTGCTCCAAGACAAGTTACCAGAACTGGAAACTGACGTAAGTCTCCTGACTCAAGTGTCCATCACAACCCAGCAGCCTCTTTTTCTGGTTCTCAAAGCTCTCCCTGAGGCCAGACTCTGCGCATGGAGGGAGGGATGTAGGAAAACACCTGTTTACTTTATATGCTATCAGCAGGTGCCGAGCCCAGGCGTTGCCTTTCAGGATCGGTTGTACTGGTGATGCCCTTGTCATGCTCCAGATCAGGAGCCGTGCAAGTACTGCTCATCCATAGAGGAGGTGATGCTCTCTCCACTGTCTGCACTTTTAATGATTTGCCTTTTTTTTTTTTTGGTAGTTATATTTAGGAAGTCCAATATGTATCAACAAAGCCATTTAAAAGGCTGCGGGAGGGATTAATACCTTGTTTCTTATCTTTCCATTAGTAGAATCCATAAAGCTCGAAAGAAGGATTCTGAGATAAGAGGAATTTACTTGAGATCCTATGAAAGCAAACCCACCAACCTGTCTGTTTCTTTGCTAACACAGAGAAAGGACTTGAAAGAATTATGTAGCCTCCAGTAACCCTGAGCTGGCAAACATACAGAACCACAGAACCGGCGGATTACTATCATCTTTGTGTCACATAAAAAATGTTCCTAGGATATTTTTTTTTTAATATTTCACCACTCTTTGCAAGGAGCAGACTTTTAAGTATAGCCCAGTTGGTGATGGATGAACATAATATTTCTTTGTCGTTCCCCAACACGGGGTAATTGTGCATCATGCATGGCAGTCAGTGGCCACTTTCAATATTTAAATGACATCTGAGTTGGAGATTAAAATTTATAAAGAGCAATGAAATCCCAGGAAAAAGGATGGAAACCACTTCTAGTTTCAAATGCTATAAAACGGATGGGCCTCCCATTCCAAACTTAAGCATTAAATATTAAGATTCTTTTGTGATGCTGGAAGCCTACAACAGGAGGAATTCTCAATCTCTTCTATCTGTTTCTATCTATCTCTCTTTCTCTCTCTCTCTCTCACACACACACTCATTTTGCCTTAACTGATTATGAATTTGAGAGGGCAAGATTAAATTTTGTTTTCAAAAACCTAGAATGTAACCTGAGTACCCAGCATGTCGACTAAGCAATTAAATAATGAGGGGGAAGCACAGTAACAATCCTAAGTGAAAGAAAATAATGACAACTGTCATGATAATCATTACTTTGAAATATCCTCAAACACTTTGCAAAGATGATCTAATTATTCCTGTGCATATCTCTCGTGGGAAAGGTGTTATTATTTCCATCTTGAAGACAAATATAATACCTACTCTCAATTTATGTGTCATTTCTTCTGAGAAGCTTCATTATTTGTTTTCTTGTTCATCTTCAAAATATGAGACCGAGACACCCCAAATTAAGTAATTTTGTGGAGAATCAGAGGCAGAATAATCTGTGTTTCTATGAATGATTAATTAAAATGTAATGTTTTCCAAACTATTTTAATCATATGCCCTGTGAAATTATGAAATGTCCGCAAATAGAGAAACTAAAAAGGATCTGATACAAAATAAATATAACTAGAAATTCTAGTGCTTTTTCTGAACTTTCCTGGGTGCGTGCATGGGGAGTGGGTAGGAGAGGAGGCTGGGGAAGAATTGACGTGGTTCTCTTCTTCCTCTCTCCTTAAATAAGCCTGGAATATTGCAGCTCTCACATTAGGTTCTACCTGGAGCTAAAGTGTAGGGTAAAAAAGAAGTGGGAAGAAAAGTGAAAGAAGGAAAGAGACTGGGTGGCTTAAACAACAGAAGTTTATTTTCTCGTCATTCTGGATGCTGGAAGTCCAAGATCAAGGTGTTGACAGGCTTGGTTTCTCCTAAGGCCTCTCTCCTTGGCTTGCAAATGTCTGTCTTCCCACTGGGTCCTCTCATGGTCTGTCCCCTGTGCACGCACATTCCTGGTGTCTCTCTGTGTGTCCCAATTTCCTCTTTTTATAAGGACACCAGGCATATTGGATTAGGGCTCGCCCCGACAACCTCATTTTAACTTAATTACCTTTTTAAACATGCTCTCTATAAATAAGGTTACATTCTGGGGAGTAAGGCTTCAACATATGCGTTTGGGATGGGGGGGAGGACACAATACAGCTCATAACAAGTGCCCATCAATCCATGAGTGGATTATCAAAATTTGGTATATGTTCACAATGGAATATTACTCAATCATAAGAAATGACAGTGATCTAGTACCTCTTACACTTTCCTGGATTAAACTTAAGCCCATTATCCAAAGTGGAGCACCACAAGAGCAGCAGAACAGGACCCATTTGTACTCACCATCAAATTGGTATTAACTAATCAACACATAAATGCACATATCAGAACAACATCTATTGGATGCTGGGGAAGGGGGAGGGTGGTGGGTGGAGGGGGGAAGAGGGAGGAGGGGAGGGGTATTTGTATACACAAGGAGGGCAATGCGCACTACCCGAAGGATGGACATATTTGAAACACGGACTTCGGTGGGGGGGGAACCAAGGGCAACACACCTAACCTAATCATCTGTACCACGGGAAGGGCGGCGGGAGGAGGGGGGAGGAGGGAGGAGGGGACGGGTATTTGTATACACAAGGAGTGCAATGCGCACTACCCGAAGGATGGACATATTTGAAACACGGACTTCGGTGGGGGTGGGGGGAACCAAGGGCAACACACGTAACCTAAACATATGTACACCCATAATTTGCTGAAATAAAAAAAAATAAAAAATAAAAAAAATAAAAAAAAAAAAAGTATCTTCTGCTTTCAGGCAAGGTTGATATTGTAAAGATGGAATAACCCTATGGTATGAACACTGGAGAAAACTCACACATAATTTGCATAATAATTCTGACCTCATGCTCATGGAAGACCAGGCCATTGCCTCTTCTCTCTTCCTATAAAAATCATAGATGACAAATCCAGATATTTCTTCTTTTTGTGTTTTGTGAGAGGCACTTTTCCTTCAAATCTCCTGTGCTTTGGGAGGGTTTTTCCAACCATGGTCTGCACCAGATGACCTCACCACCACAGAGGGTCTCAGGAAGAGCGCACATATTTGCCCCATGCTGGCCATCTCAGGTCACATAGTCAGCTGGAAAGTCACAGCCACACTGGGTGGACCAAGCAAAATAGATCCCTGGTGACAAGGTTGGAGTGGGTGATCAAAGTCTTAAAGGGGATGTTCTTCTTTCCAAAATGGTGAAAAAAACACATGAATTTGCTTCCACTTCAAGAAAAGTTGACATTCAATATCCTAATTTTAAAATGTGAATGGGGATAATTTTCGCATTATAAATGAAATCTCCATTTTAGAATAATGTTATTGATTTCTCTTTAAATGGCAAGCTTTGTGCATTGGTAGTATAACTTAATAGGCAAAATTGTGATCTGTGTGTATGTATCATGTCATTATGTAGCTATGTAAATGTATGCATGCATTCCCTCATTGAACAAGCTCAACCACTTTAGTCCACATACTGGAGATGGTAACAAACACTAGGGACACAACAATGAAGGAATCCCTGCCCTGGAAGCACTCACAGTCAACTGGAGAAGAGAAGGAAGTGAAAAGATACATGGACACAATTTGGCGGAGTGGTTCTCAAACTCGAGCATGCGTCAGAATCATGTGGAGGGATTGTTCAAGCCCAGATTGCTGCCCATCCCCCTCCCCAGTTTCTGATTCAGTGGGGCTGAGAATTTGCATTTCTAACAAGTTTCCTGTACTGCTCGTGCAGGAAGCATACTTTGAGAACCACTGATGGAGAATTACAAGTGTTGGGGGCTGTGGAAGCTCTAAGAAGGAGTTCCCAGCACTGTTTGGAGGAGGCAGAGAGAGCTTCACAGAGGAAGTGAGTTTTAAAGGATGAGTAGGGAGGATAAGAATGGAAGGATTAGGACATACTGAGCATATTTAGTTCTTTTCTCTTCCTTTCTTTTCTTTTTAAGAGTACCAGGAGGAATGAGCATATTTAGTTCTAAAGGACAAAAGTAGGAGAAAAATGCTATGGTTTGTGAAAAAATGCAAATAATTTCATTTTGGGCATATAATTATTTGGCAAATAATTCCAAAGTTTAAGTTTGAAATAGTTGCAGGAAGTAAAGCTGATGAAATATGCAAGACCCAGAACTATGATTACAGACTTTGTTTGAACATTGTCCTATAGGTGATTATGTAACCATTAATCCCCAGAGTTAGATTTCAAGCTGGAAGAAAAGAGCCCTGGCAGAACTCTGTCCATAATTGTCCTTCTTCAAAAGAGGCTTCTTTCTCAGCCTGGCACAGAGCTTTCCAACCTTTTGGAAGAAATCCTTTTCATTTCTCTGAAGTGACAAATCTCACCGAAGGTGATAAGAAAGTAGGAGAGGTGTGTTGTTTGCATGTGAGCAGCCTGGGTAGAGATTAAATTTTTGCCATTGGCCCATGAGCCACAGTGAGGAGGCATTTCAGTGCCTTGATAATGAATTGGTTACTTGTGATTCACTCTTGGAAAACTCTAAGCTCCACCGACCTCTCACTGCCTCCTGTCACTCAGCATGGAGGGATGACGGGCCCAGGAAAGAGAGATTGAGAGAGAGGAAGACCTCGGTAGCACGGATTGTGATGAAATGTGCTTCATTCCTTTCTTTTTAGGGGAAGATGACGATGATGACGAATGTGGGGAGGAAAAGCTGCCCTCCTGTTTCGATTATGTGATGCACTTCCTGACGGTGTTCTGGAAGGTTCTCTTCGCCTTCGTGCCCCCTACAGAATACTGGAACGGCTGGGCGTGTTTCATCGTGTCCATCCTCATGATCGGCCTACTGACAGCTTTCATTGGAGACCTGGCTTCCCACTTTGGCTGCACCATTGGCTTGAAAGATTCTGTGACTGCCGTCGTGTTTGTCGCACTGGGAACTTCAGTGCCAGGTAGAGAATACGTTCATATATAATTCCTTTTATTTTTTTTATTTCAGAATACTATGGGTGTACAAATGTTTAGGTTACATATATTGCCCCCAGAAACGGAAGCTCATTTGCCTTCCTGAACCTTTCTTTGCTATAATTTCAAGGGCTGGGATAACAAGTCAGGCCTGTGAAGGATGACTGCCCAGAGATATAGATAATGTCAGTGTCAGAACATTGTCATGGCACTGCTCAAGTTAGGGAGCTGGTCAGTCTCAGCGTGATGACTGGATAGCATTCCCAGGGGGTGTCCATGGCCTGCGTGGAGAGAACAGATGGTTTGATGGACAGATTTTCAGATCAGCTTCCTATTACAATGAGCGCTTTAAAAAGACAAACAAAAATACAGAATCATCTTTAAGAACAAAATTTCTGTCTTTATATATTTATAAAATTCCGATGCTTTCCATGAAACTTACACTCATTTAGGTAACTGAGATAACATACTTATTGCAGATCTGACAAAATATTCTCTTGACCCAAATATTAATAGAAGTAAATAGAAAATAGGCATTGATCAGGACAGGAAAAAAACAAAAGTGAGCAGACCAAGTATACATTTCATGGGCATCCCTTGATGATTTCCTTATAAGGTGAATTTTTCTTCCAAGCTACAACAGTAGTTTATTATGTTTACTCAGATTCCTGAGTAAGACGTCATCTCCCCAAACATAATATTGACAGCAGTAATTTTCAAACTTTGATGGGCATCAGCATTACCTGGGAGCTGGTTAAAAAATGCAAAAGCCTAAGACCTATCATCAATCTTTGGAAGTTCTAGGAGGAGGGCCCAGAAATATGTAGCTCCCAAGTGGCTCTGGTGCATACCAGAGTCTTCTATAAGTGAAATTCTGGATCTACTCTCCAGCACTAGTTGGCTACCTGACAGACATACAGCCTTAACTTTGAGCAATGAGACTAGCATTCTCTGCGCAGCAGCAGGCCAAGGACAAGCATTAAGGTGGGCTTGAAAAAAGGCAGAACTTGGAGCAAATGTAGCTCTGATGCTGGTGCTGTTCACTGTCCACTGCCCTCGCCTCACCACCATCCTCAGATGGACACCATGATTTCCAGGAAAACTTGCCATTGCTGGCAGATTTGGCTCTTGGTTTGAGGCTGAAAACAACTACAGTTTAAATCATGTGTTTCTTTCCACTGAAATTCACAAGTTGTTCTTCTTCAGAACATGAGGAATCGTGGTAAAGATTGGAGAAAATACCTATAAATGGTGCATCTAGTAAAGCATCTGGGACAAAGGAGGAATTTAATAAAATAGTAGCTCTTACCATTATTGTTTATGTTGAATAATTTAGGATGATATGACCAGTATAAATCTGGATATTTCATCCACGTTTACCCTGAGTAACCCTGAGTGACCGTGAAGGAAGTGTCCAGACTCATACTGGCCAACCATAACACATGGTATTACCCAACTGATTAACCACTAGGGGGTCCTGAGTTAGAGACCCCACGTGGTTTTGGTGTCCAACCGAGGTATTGGAGGGGCCAGGAGACTCCGAGAGCACCCATCCTCCAGCCTTAGCAAGCAGACTATTTGAAGATGTCAAGTTCACTGTTGGTCCTCAGAGGAGAGCAGACTCCCTCTCAACCCCAGCTGTGTTCCAACAGTTCCATATTTGGTCTTTACTCTGAATTTTTTCCAGAAATTACCAGAAATTTACCAGATAGGAGGAAATGCTTAAAATATTCATATCTTAAGTTGTTTTGTTTAGAGAATATATATAAAACCAAAGGAACTAAACATCATGGCTGTCCATTGCTTCTATTTGAGATGTGGTTATTACAGGAAAATATGTTTTGGGGGCCACTTCCCCTAAGGTTTAAGTCACTGCATCCAGTGGTGTTCAAGTTAGCACACACTGTTGGCCGTGAGTTTAACCCCTAAGGAGAAAATGTGCAAATTATGATAATAAAGGCAAAATTAGGTCTCTTATGACAGTTATCCACAAGCAGCCTGCCATTCTGAGAAAGCAGCAGTTTATCCCACCAAAGGCATTTCTTATTTTCAAAAAGATAAAAAATACTTTTCCTACATTAAATCCTCATTTGATGTAGGAAATTCTCTTACGAGATCAAATTTCTCGTTTCTGAAAATGTGTTTTTAGTCCCCAATGCCTCTTCTCCAATACCCACAAACAGACTCCTTTTTCTGAATGCCAGTCTTTGAAAACGGCTCTGTGCATCTCGTGCTTTAATAAACCCTTGAAAAGTTTGGTAGCCATATGATTAAAGTTTATTTTTTCCTATAACATGAAATGTGGATTATAGCAAACCTTAATGTTAGGGGAGTCACTTGTTCTGCCACTTAAAACTAACTCAGAACCCAGGTGGAGACACTGAGAAGTAAGAAAATCTGTTTGGGAAGAATATAACAGAATCATTAGTTTTTGAAATGGTTTCCCTACACTGCTAGAAACGCTTCCCATGGGGACACAGATTACTTTGCTCTATTACTGGGAGAATTCCATAATTTGCTATATTAACTGTGCAGCATGTTCCCCAAACAATATATTCACAGGTAATCTCGGGTAATCATATCTATATCAATAGCCATTTTTTCCCAAAAAAAGCTGTGAAAATTAAACAAGATGCTGGATGAACATAATATTTGTTCTTCAACCCTGCTGATTCAGAGCAGTGTGTTATTATATCCCTTGATTTCTAAAAAAAAAAAGATGCTATTGTTTCTAGATGACAAAGCCCACTTGCCACAGGCAGATGAAGACTAAAGAAAACTAATTCTCTTCACGTATAGCCTACCATTAATCAGCATTGGTCCTGGGGCCCAGCTTCTTCTCTAGGCTGACGTCTTGGCACTTTTCCTAAAATAGCTGGGCTCCTGCCTAGCGTCTGATGTACTGCTGTCTCTTTCTGCGTAAGAGTCGTAGCTTCTTAGACTGTGATGGCCAGATGGGTATTGAAATCTTTCCTCCCTGCTAGTCCCTCCTGCCTCAAGGCAGGATTTAATATCTGCATATCTCATTAAAAGTATTTTTTACCATACTGTTCACAATGTATGTGAAAAAGCTTAAGATGTTTTGAGTGAGACAGAGCCTCTTCCTCATACCAGCGGGTATCAAATGCTCATTATGATCTACCGGCAGAGAAGGACTCATAAAGGTCATCACCCACCCCAAACCTCAGGTGCCTACAAGAGCTTGAAGACCCATATCTATGAGTACAGGAAGGGCCTTCTTTTCCTGAATCGCAATTCTTCAGACCTGTCTGTCTGAAGGAACAAGCTTCTCCAACAGTCCCTTCCCACCTTTAAATGTCGGAGTAAGCTGGAGACTGGTCTCCATCCCTCTTTCCTTCCTGGTCCATATTTACTTCCTGGACATCAGTCTCCATGGCTTAAATGTCACCTATATGCCAATGATTGCTAAATGTATAGCTCGAGCCTCAACTTTCCCCTGAGGGCTAGCTTCATATACCAACTGCCTTCCCTGTGTTGATCCTAGATGTGTCATTTGCAGCTCGGAATTACTATATCCAAAACAGAACTGTTGATTCCTACTGCCCAAGGGCCTTATCCTTCAACCAAACCCATTCTTTCCAGATCTTGCCTTTCTTAGGAATACAGTGTCATCATCCACCCTGGTATCCTTGGTTCCTTCTTCCTCCTTCCCCTACTCAATCCATTTATAAGTCCTGCAAATCTTTCCTCTAAAGTATGTCTTGATCAGGCCCACTTAGCTCTCTTTCCACCGCCACCATCCTAGTCTGCACAGCCATTCATTCTCTGTCACCTAGACCCCTGCAGTAGCTTACTGTCAGTCTCCCTGCTTCTGCTAGAGATCATTTTAAGATGTAAACGAGACCACAGTCTTCCAATGGCTTATTTCGATTGGGATAAACTCCAAAGCATCACTCTGACTTTCAGATACCTATGTGGTTTGGTCCCTGCCTATCTTTCATTCCATTCTTCTCCTTGCCCTCTGGTCTTTGGGCCCACGGGCCTATTTTCTGTCCTGCATGCACCAAGGTCACTCCTTTCTCAGGGCTGCACTAGCTATCTGAAATGCTTCTCCCTTCATTTACACAAAACTGGCTCTTGATCTTCAATCATATCTCATCTTAAATTATATCTTCAAAGAGGCCTTTTCTAACCACCAAATGTGAAGTGGTTGCCCAATTAGCCTGTATTACCTCACTCTGTTTTCTGTATTCATTACTTTTTGGATTTTTGTTTTGTTTTATTTATTTTTAAATGTTATTATTATCTAATTCTCCCCACTAAAATGTAAGCTTCATGGGGGCAGAAATCTTGTTCTTTTTTTCTCTATATCATATCACCAGCTCTTAGAATGGTGCTTAGCTATCACATAAGTAATGCAATTTTCTGTGTGTGCATGTGTGTGTGTGTGTGTGTTGTATGTATAAGTAATGTACAGATCAGTTGTTTACACATTAGTATGAGTCGGTTCAATCAGATTGCTCTCTTCCTAATATATTCTAGAGAAAACTAAGATTAAAGTTATGATTATCAAGGGAGATAAATAGTAGATATTTTTATAGTGTGGCTTATTCTTGAAGAATAGGACATATCTAAGAAGGTTATTATAGTGAGAAGGGGCAAAAATTAACTTCAGGCCACTGAGGACCTCAGTGCAGAAACAGGTTTCCTCTTTCATAATTTTGGCTGTGATGGGAACTGCGACGAGTAGCAAGATACTTTTTGGTCTCTTCTTCATTCTTTCTCTTCCTATGACCCCAATTTCTAAGACCCAGACTTCAAGCCAGTACTTTTAAAACTTTGAGTACACTTTGTAGAGTGCAAAATAGGCATTTTGCAGTAGCCTGACATGGGTCCATAACTATGTTATATCATATTGTTTTTAAGGAAAAACAGGGTCAAAATTCAAGGGAAAAAATGTAAGAAGGAGCATTTGGAACCCAGCCTTTTTTGTTCTAGGGACCACCTGGCGATTGCACATACTTTT